ATTACTGGTCAAAAACACTGGCTGAAGATGCTTTCTGTCTGGTCCTACTCGTTTCTGCAGAGAGAGAACTCATCAGTCTACAGGTGCTGCTGATTTCTCTGTCTTCCCTGTGCCGAATGTGCCAGGTAACTGCTGCTCGCTGGAGTGATGACATGCTTTTTCAAGCGCTCTGGTCTACTTTCATCACTCCAGGCTCTGGAGTCACAATAGTTTTTGTTAATATGGTTACCCAAGGCCTGTAGTGCAGTAGTCTAGTGGGATAACATACAGTCAAATTCTGAAACTATGGACCCAATGACAGCTCCATCAGAATGATAATGTTTCAAAAATAGAGTAGAACTAATCGCATATGATAATGCTGTTTGAATTTACTAATTAAGACTGTTTCAGTTACCTTGTTAGCATGCTATCGACAGTGACTTGAGAGTGTGTTATGTGTGAGTTTGTCACAATTGAATACATGAGTTCCTCCCTTGCCCCTCATACATCCACTCTCTCCCATGTACAGTATATTGACTTCTGGCACCTTGTGATTAACAAATTAAGCACTACACGTTGCCGTGTTTTCCCTCAAGTCACATTTAAATAAAAACATTTATGCAAATAATAATATGCAGGTGCAGATGTGGACCTAGAACTTCTCTTTGGTAAATCACTTCATCTTTATATTGAAAAACCCTCTTTTGATTGCCAGTTTGCATGTGAATCCACAAACAGTGCATATAGATATACATTACAGGTATAGCCAGTTAATGACAGTGGCAAGGAATTAAATGTCTAAAACATTGTAGGACAATTGGGAAACGTGAGTGAATAACAAAACACATTCGAAAACACATTCTCAGGTAGAAAATCGAACAATGTAGTGGAGTATAAATAAAAAGAGTGGTCCTAGCTCTGTTAGGTTAGGCAGTTATTATGTAGCAGACTAACACATGTAAGAGATGTAAGTAGTGGACTCAGGTTGCAGGAGGGCTCAATAACTAGGTTTAGTTATAAGGTTGCAATAAACCAGTTATACATTCTGAAAGGGGATTTTAAAGGTTCCTGGTTGGGATCATGGAGATCAAGGTTCTCTCGTAGGGAAACTCTAGGTTCTAGGTTGCTAACCCTGGTGGGAGTTTAATAAGAGAGAGAAGTAATTGATTGAAAATTTTAGAAAATATGTTTAGTGTGAGTGAGAAAAATAGATTCTCAGTTATATGGAGGCTGATTGACTAGATTAGGGGAAATCCAGGAAAGCAGACTGAGTAGTTGGGTAGCTCTGAGAGAAGATAGAACCAGTGTTGGAGATGCAAAGGTTAGCTTTCCCCAGAGGTTGACTCCAAAGGTAAGGAGCTCCAGTCTCGTCAAAGGTTAAAGGAGCAGCAGCTCTTCTAAGATCCAGCCTAGTGCCACAGGTTAGGTGCAAGGATCTCCCTCATAATATGAAGACATGTCTGGTTGAACAGTTTCGACAGCGCAGAACATGAGACCGACCCTTCTCTCAGTTCCCAGGGAGGTGAAGGTTAAGAACAGCAGAGTTCCCAAACTCTGGATGGAGTTTGAGGAAGGATTCACTTGGAGGTAGTCTGAGGTATGGAGTAGATTCACCTCTGTCACTGCTGTAAGTGGGAGGCAGCTGTCAGACTCCCAAAGCCGGGTGTTTCCCGGGAGGGATCTGAAAGTCACCACACTGATCTCAGAGGATGGTAAGTTTGGTAAGGAGTGAGTAGACAGTGGAAAAGGCTTGGAAAGTTAGAACTACAATACGCCACCGTTAGAGCAGAAAAAGAAACCCATATTTATACTCTAAGGTCAGGAGAAACTGGGTGCCCTATCTAGGAACATGCATTCTCTGGAGAAGAGTAAAGACTTCAGGTTACATTCTCCCACAAATGCGTAAGGACAGGACCTTTGAAAAGAAACCCCACAACGGGACAAAATGGCAACAGTCCTCAGATTCATATCAGATGGCTGCAAATCTCTGGGCAGATGAAAAACAGCATAGCCATGGATACAAGCAGTCACTCCATTACAATGAGTGTATGAAATACAGCATTCTTCACATGACATTGATTTGGCTGATGGAGCAAACATCAATATTATACTGTATGTAGCATTGTGTTCAGAGAAGCGCTGATATTAAGTAGTTCAGATAGAAAACACTGGTGTGTGCGTGTGTATTTGAGAAAATCACTTTGATATTTAAAGACAATATTTCCAAATTAGTGGTTTGCCTATGGATTTATTTAATTTGCATCCATCCTCAGATTTTAGTACAGTCTCCTGTAACAGTACCCATGCTTTATACTAGAGTATGCTTATTGGTACATGTTACTTATTACATTAGTGCCGCTGACTGTCCTCTGTGGGGTTTTTAGTGCACATAGAGGGGGAGCTAGTGTCTGTGGAGGTGGTGAACATGTTTATATGGTAGCACTCTGCTGATAAAAGTTTCTATATTTGTCAGGAACTCTGGTATATGATTAAATCTTATTGTCTACATATTTTAAAATGCTTCATATACTTGCTATTTCTCCTTTCAGATACAGCAATGTGGAGTTTTGGTGCATATCGGTATTTTTTTAGAGAGGCCTTAAAAGTTTAGACATAGTATATGAGATGATACTCCATTCCTTTATGCTTTGATTTCAGCCAAAAAAATCTACTTGGAGTTATATAATTAAAAATCTTAAAAATAGAATGCGAAGTCAGAAAATTAAGGCAGGTGCCAAAATGATAAACAGCAGTTGTTTTTTAGCTTTTGTTACCATTTTCATAACAAGGTTTTTAAATTTGTTTTATTGCGTTTTCTTCAACGTTTACCGTCTGCGAGTTTGCCTTCGTGTTTGGAATACCTTACTAGAGCCTGTTAATGATTTTTTCCACATTACAGCACTCCAGCCTGAAGGCTCTTGCACTGTAGCCACCCTGAGTTCATTCTAAAGATTTAATCAAATGATTACTGTCAAACGTTTGACTTCAGATCTGATCTCACAGACAACTGCAGCCGCTTTTGAAAGTGACACAGTTTGCAGCTTGATAGAAATAGTCACTAGCACATTTGTTAAAGATTATGTTTTGATTTAAGCCTACTGTTGTAATTCTCTGATGTCATTCTCCGCAATGGATTCTTTCAAAGAAAGAACTGGCCTTTCCTGATAAAAGTCTGATAATGTCTATTTACAGTCAGGTTTGTGGACTTCTAAATATAGAAAGTGACAAAGTAATGTACTGTATACTGTTTGTACAGTATATGGGCTCTTGTGTCCCATTGCAGCAGCAGTTTTAAACTTCTGACCCACTTTTTTTTCATGATGTTAATTTCTTCTGGCACCACTGTCACAGACATGATTATCAGGCCATATGCAACCTCACAGGTGTGCATGGCAGAATAGCAGCCAGAAAGGGTGACAAGTTAATAATGCGTGGCACACTGTAATCACTACTCTTAAGCACCCTTCGTTATTAAAGCAGCTGTTATTAAATTCCATCACTTTTGTTGTTTTGCAGCTCCGACTACCTCCACAATAACAAAATTGCAGTGCTTGACAGAGAACCCGAAATGGCAGAAGTGTTCTTCACAGCTATTTTACACTCATCCATTCAGAGCCTTGACTGGCAGTTATGTGAATAATCTAATTGTATAGAAAGTGGAGAAAGTGACTGAATTGCATGCTTGATAATGTCAGATGTCTCTATGGAGACTTAAACTTTATAAAATCCTGTATTCAAAGGACAGAAATACATTTAGCTGTAACGAGTTTCTCACAATTGATTGACTAATTTCTAATAAAAAGTAGTGATGTTGTTCATAGGACACAGCTTTTTAGGTGTTTTCTATGGTGTCTTGAATACAGTATTATAATTAAAAAAAGAAACTAAAAGGTAATTGATCAATTTTATTTCTAAAAAATCTGGTATTCCTAAATAATTTATGTTTCTTCAACAATCAGGGTCTAATTATTTTCCAGGATTATTGTCAACTATTTTTTTTTTAATTTGAAATGTAAATACTTCTTTTGAGTTCAACAATAACAAATTGGAAAAACGTTTGTGGGGATTTTTCACAGCTTTGCAGCTAGGTTAAGACTGCACAAGGATAGTGTTGACTTTTGCCCAACAGGACCTGTGCATTATTTTCATAACTGTGGTGGCTCCATATTTCCAGTACTGTACAATGACAGTAGACTCTTGTTTTCATTCCACTTCCACTAGGTTTTCATACCTAATACATGCAATATGTATTTTAGGCATGTTCTGCCTTAATGGAAGGCAAGAGCAAATGTGTGGGAAAACACAATTAGCTCCACACTATTATTACAATGGGGTTTAGAAGGTCTTAAAAAGGCAGCAGCAGCATTTACTGAGCCGAGATGTTTCAACGGTTGGAAAGCTGTCGTTATCCTGGGCCACAAAAAGAGACGGTGCTCTAAGTGCGTGTATTTATTATGGCTGCCTTGAGTGCTGTGTTTAGTATTCAAGGATCACATTCCTCTCTTCTCTGACCAGCAAAGTAGTCAGAGGAAGAGGAAACGTCATGCTCACTGATGCTTGTATCACCGTGGCAAAAATGGGAATGTGTGTTTCAGTTAGGTAATGGTGATTTCCTTGTATTCAAAAATGGTTTTGATTTAAATGACTACATGCACCACGATTTGTCAAATATAAATCTGTTCTATCAATATGCTGGCTTGTGCCTTGAAGGTTCACTATCCTTTAAAAAAAAAAGTGACTCCCCACCCCATTAAGACATTCTGCAGGTTTTATTTTCAGCATAAATTAAAATCAAATGGATGTTGTTCTTACAAGGCTGACAGATCTGAGTACACATGGCCAGTAACATTTAACATCTGTATGCTTTTACTATACACTTCTCTAGATGTTCAATATTTTTCTTCCTCATACTTTGTAGATGTTGTCAGTTAAAAGATTTTAATAGTCCACCCTGCATGGCTGACAAAAGGATGGGCATTATTCTTTGGTTAAATTTAACATGACATCTGTTTTTTTCCCAGTATTTTTCCTGTTTGCTGCTGATATTTCTGATTGAGCTTGTGGCTGGCCTTCTGGCTTATGTTTACTACCAAAGGGTGAGTACTAATGTAATACATTTCAGATGTTGTGTAATATTATTGCTTTTTATGTGTTACTTTACAATGTACAATTTGATTGCACAAGAGAGTTATAAAAAATTGAACATGGTTGCATAGTAACTGTATCTATAGCCAGTGTTATTGAATCCTCTAAAATAAATCATACTGTTATACATTTCTGGAGTGGTGTAAGATTTTGTAGTTTACTTTTTTTTTTAGGAAAACAAGTGAGTGTATGTCACTAACATACCTTTATCATTATTTATTGACTATTTCAAAAACAGGTACAGTACCAGAAAGCGGTTGTAGCTGAATTGCTCATGAATTTATTTTTACAAACCAACACCCCATTCAATCCAGTCAACATGGGTTGAAACAAGACTGAGGCTACCTTGATAGAAATTAAAGACTTTAATTTCTGGAGGCTTTATTCAAAATATGTTGAAATGTTTTAAGGGACCTCACTTTTGGTCATTTCTGGTCATTTGTCATTGTTAAAGATGTGCCTTTAATAGCTTTTGGCACAGTTGACAGTAACAGAGTGGACATTAGAGTCTCTGGTTCAGGTAATCTGCTTAGCTTCCTATTAAAGCAACATACAGTGCAGCCCATACTGTAAGTATTTGGAAAGTGACACAATTTTTGCTGTTTTGGCTGTGTATTCTGGCACATTGGATTTGAAATGAAACAATAACTCTGAGCTTAAAGTGCAGAATGTCAGCTTTAATTCAGGTCTTTACGTCTATATTGGGTGAACGATATAGGAATATAGATATAGGAATCACAGCCCTTTTTATACATAGTGCCCCCATTTCATGGGACCGAAAGTAATTGACCCGTAGACATCACCAGACGTTGGGTATCTTTTCTGGTGATGCTCTACCAGGCCTGTAATTCAGCCATTCTCAGTTCCTGCTTGTTTCGGGGTTTTTTTGCTTTCAGTCTTGTCTTCAGTTAGTGAAATACATGCTCAATGGGATTCAGGTCAGGTGATTGACTTGGCCAGTCAAAAACAATCCACTTTTTGACCCTGAAAAACTCCACAGTTGCTTTAGCAGTATGTTTGTAGTCATTGTCCTGCTGCAAGCTGAAGCCCAGTCCAATGAGTTTTGAAGCATTTGGTTGGATCTGAGCAGATAAGATGCTTCTGTCCACTTCAGAATTCATCCTGCTGCCATATAAAGTCACTTCATCAATAAAGACAAGTGAGCCAGTTCCACTGGCAGCCGTACATGCCCAAGCCATGACACTACCTCCACCATGTTTCACAGATGAGGTGATGTTCTTTGGATCATGAGCAGTTCTTTTTTTCTCCACACTTTCCTCTTTCCATCACTCTGGGGCAGATTAATCTTTATCTCATCTGTCCTTAAGGCTTTGTCCCAGAACTCTAAGGGCTTTTTAATGTACTTTTTAGTGAACTGTAACCTGGCCTTTCTGTGGCCTTTTTTATCAGTGGTTTGCATCTTGTGGTGAACCCTCTGAGATTATGCTGGTGTATTCCTCTCTTTATGGTAGTCTTTGACACATCTATGCCTACATCCTGGACAGTGTTCCTGATGTGTTCAACAGTTGAAAAGGGTTTTTTCTTCACGATTGAAAGTATTCTTCATCATCCACTACTGTGTTCTCCTTGTGGTCTACCAGGTCGTTTGCTATTGCTAAGCTCACCAGAGTGTTCTTGCTTCTTAGCAATGTACCAAACAGTTGATTTTGACACACCTGATGTTTTGGCCCTGATTGATTTATTCTGATTTTTGATGGCCCGCTTTACTGGCATTGACACTTCTTTGGTCCTCATGTTGAGAGACAACAGCAACAGACTCCAGATGCAAATGCCACACATCTAGAATCAACTCTAGACCTTTTGTTAGCTCTATTAAGCATGACCTTATGATGCAACAACACACAGCGTGCCAAGAAACAGCTGAGAAGCCAATTGTCCAATTACTTTTGGTCCCATAAAATGGAAGGACTATGTATAAAAAGGGCGAATTAAAGCTGACATTCTGCACTTTAACCTCAGAGTCATTGTTTCATTTCAAATGTACTGGAGTACAGAGCTAAACCAAAAATTGTCACTGTCCAAATACTGACGGACTGCACTGTACATTAGCTACTTAGATACTCAGGTGGCCTTATGGACTGTGAGTTGTAGTGAAATGCTATGTTACTCATTGTGATTCTGTGTTCAATAAATTTTCTCCTCATCTTTGATGAACACTAAATTTATAAGCAATACATACTAAATTATTATAGAGTTATTAAAGATACATCAATTTTATTTTTCAACATAATATCCTTACACAGTCACAAACATCTGAAACTTCTGAAATGAATACCCTCCATAGTAAATATCATCAACCCAGTCCAATGTTACTGTCATTTAATAGCAAAGTTTTTTTCGAGGGTTTGAGGTCCAGACTGTGCTACATACTTGGCGTACTCTACTAAATGGTACTGTACAACTCTAGAAGGATCCAGTAAATAACCATCGGCAACAAAACAGCATAAGAGATGGAATAAATGCCTACCACCTGCATCTGGGCGGCCAACTGACCCATCTTGCTGAAACTTGCATGTTTATGTGAGGCTTGCTGTCTCCTGTGCTGGGCCCAGGTTAAGAGTTTTGGATGAGAACCCCCACTATTCTGACATTTTCAGTCTCAAAAGTTGGCAAATACAGCACCTGCTGTGGATCGGACACCACAAAAACAAGCTGACACATTCATTCATTGTTTCATACTGGGCAAAAACCTCCACAGTATTGTTAATATTATTTTTTTATTTAAATAACCAGGTAAAACCTTCAGGTTTCTACAATGAGGGGCATTTAAGTCGGTCTTTCTAGAGTTTATTGTGTAACGTTGCCATATTAAATGTAGTGTGCTCTCTGAAGGCACCAGTTCTGTAGGGTTTGGGCATTTACTGGGA